CCTTGGATAGACAAAGAATGGGGGATGCTGATGACGAATCTTAGTAGAATGCGACGGTCTTCCCGGGTTTGCATGACCGGATGCAACTCAATGGCACTTTGATAACCCATACTGTGACGCTATGGTCTGTAATTGCCGAAGTAAGCATATACTGAGTGAGGTAATTGGTAGTGAAGACTAGCTAGCCACACAGTTGTAACGGCCACCGACATCACCTAGGTTGTTGATTCAAATCCGGTAGGAATGGAGGAAAATATGCGTTACCAATGAAACGCCCACCCAGCGTTCAAACGAAAATATGACGGCTGTCTGAATGGAGTGAGTTACGGTGGTCTCTATCAACACGTGATAAGTTACCCTGCTAATTCCAACCGAAGATATTTGTAAGCATGATATATAAAAGGTATATCCTCGATGAGACGATACATGGTCCAGCGAAACTGTTCCGATCACAAAGTACCAAAAAGAAAAAGCTGACAAAAGAAACAATTTGTCACAAGACCAAAAAACAGTTACACTTCTAGATGCGTTCAGTAGGAGTTTCGTCTAACACTGAAACAGGAGTCGACGCCATGGACAGACCTGATCAAGAATAAACGAGTAAGGGTCACGCAGCACAGGTCGGAGAGATGAAGTTAAAAGGGCAACTTCCCATCACATAAGTAGAACGCGGACAGAAGACCCAACCAGTAGGATTACCCGTCTAGACGGTCAAGCAAGGTCACATAATCGTCATCATCATCCTCAACAGCCATTTGAACTGATGCTTCGCCGCCAAACAATCACAACGGCCTACATGACGAAGAATAAATAGAGAGAGAGAGAAGTTAGACTAGCCTTAAGCTTTCAGGATCAAAGTGCCTATACCTTGTCAACAGCAAGCCATCAAAAATAGCTGCCTATCATTAATATATATATATATATATATATATATATATATATCATATGGGACTATAAGGATTAGTAGAAGTAGATGAATGGTAGGTAGTGATGGAGCGGGGACAGACGGGACAAAAGAAAAGAGAAGTTTCGGTCACATGTTCATAGTTTACGTAAGTGCATATCGGAGAGTTGGGAAGTAACAACTGAAAGCGGATGGAACATGATAGACCAATGGATGCGCATGGATTCGGCATGCGTTTAGCAACTTCATGGTTGACACAGGAAAAGGTGAATACGCCATTGCTGTCACGTATAACCGCCCACACATGTCGAGTAGTTTACGTGTACCACGGCTGTTGCACTACGCCTGCGATTCGGTGAGTAGTTTGCGGTATGCAATGAGAAGGTTCTGTGACACGGATTGTCGAAATTGCATCGACCGATGTCGGGTAGTGAGGCGCTCTGCAGTAATGCATGCGATCCTGTTGAGGATTTTTTGTGTAATTCATTGAGCTCACAGCAAAAGCCTCAAAATTAGCTAATCCTCCACATGACCCCGCAAGCACTAGATGGCCGTTTCGATCTACTGGGTCTCAGTGGGACGCATCCATCTGCTCTATCAGGATCCGAACCCATGACCAGTGACGTATTGAACTGCCAGCCAACAGCTTAAGCCACTGAGACTTGGGAGCAGCGGCGAACCGTTATGATTTACAAGCTAACTGCGATATAGCGCTCCAAATCGTTCACTGCTATGCGAATTATGAGCGTTGCAGATAACAGGGTGGATATTTTGATGCACTCATGAGTAGAGGTATTTTCGATGCAACTAACTGGCCACCGAGCGTTGTTCGCAGTTGGCAACAGATCAACACAAAAATTGCAGCAGCTCGGCTGGATAATGGCAATAAAGCCGCTTGCAGCTCATTAAATACTGATTGAGCTGCAAAAACGCCCATTAAAGACAACATCTCTTTGCATGTGTAACTCATGTCTACTTCGAAGAATCCCAAGGTGATGGTACGAAAATGATCCGAGAAAAAAACTGGTAGTAAGTTCGAAATTTGGCTGCGTGTTTACCTAGGGGTCGCTGAACCACTCACGATAGTTAAGACAAGCGAAGACAAAGGTGATGTTTGAACAATGATTTATTGCAAGAGCGTGATAAAATCGGGTAAGACCGAGTGAGAAAAGGCTACATGAAAATAAAATTGGTTAACTAACTGGGGCGCACATATGCGGACCGGCCACGAGATGTACACTAACACAAATCTGTTGACTTTGATTTTATGGGGGGGGGCTAGAAAGCAATGTTTACCTGCGTTTTATCGTCATCCGATGGATGTGGGACAGATCAACTAATACAAATGGAGTACTTAATCATCGTTTCGTATTGTAATGGAAAACGTGAGCGCAGAAATCGAACCCGTCCGCAGAAGGTACCACATTCCATTAACAGTGGGGGAAAAGGTCCTGTGATATTTAAGCCCCACCATGACCAGATTAGACCATAACGCGGTACGATGGTTTAGGCGTCTCAGCGATCCACTAAGCTATGCTGGGTGGTGTTTTTGTACCTTCAGAGCCAATCACACCAGATTGGTTAATGGTTAGAGGCTTGATAAACCTAGCCTCATGGTCCTCCAGGTTGGGGTTTGGAGTGGTGGCCCCTGATTCCATAAAACGGGTACTGTACATCGCAGTGCCAAAACTCCGCTGCCTTGTGATTAGGTTTTGAACCAAAGGCATCGATTGAGAACCCTAATCGTTCTCCTCTCTAGGACTTGGCCACTTGACAGTACCGGGCCATGCAATACAATAAGTTCACATTCTAAC